GGTTAAATAAATAACACTGCACCTTCCAAATGCTGTTATTTATAGTGCTGCGGGCACTCTGCCCCACCATCACTGACAATATCCCTGTTCATCCCCGCCGTGACTGAGCCCACCTCCATGCTGGGCTCCCCCTGCCCGCCCTGGGGCTCTGCTCTCCCGGGCTTGGAGCCGTTCTCCTGACTTCTTTCCGTCGCTCATTATTTCACCCGTGGTGGCCATGAGAAATGGCTTTGGTCTAGTTTGCGCCTCCTGGGCGGATGAATGAATTCGTGCTGCGACGTGGGGGCACTGGGATTCTGCCAGCCTTGGCCGAGGCTGGGGCGATGCTGGGCATGGGTGAGCTCCCTGCCCTCAGGAAGTGGTGTGACACCAGGGCACTTGATTTACTGATTTCCGTAGGGACTGGGATGGGTTGCCATGGAATGGTTTCTCACAGATCTCTTGGGAGACTGATCCAAGAAAAGAACCCTTTCTGTGTGCCTTCTATTGCAAATGTGGGTCCTTGATACATCCATCTCTCAAAGCTGTTTTTCTGTGGCCATGCCAAGCATGGTCTGTGGAGGTTGGAGAGAAAGCACAAACAGCGTAGCAGGGTCAGATATTGGGACACCTAAGGATGTTAGCAGCAGTGCCTGCAGAGGATTAGCATCCTAATTCAACGTGTTGGGACAGTTCTTGCTCTCCAGAGCTTCCTTGGTTGATGCCCCAGTGCACTGCCACCCTGCAGCACATTGGAAGCTCAGGTGATAGGGGAGGATTTGGGTTTTGCTGTGGTCTCAAAGGATCAGTGTAGGTCCTGAACCCCTACACAATGTTGGGAGGAAGGTGTTGCACTGGATGGAAATGATCTGGGAGAAGTACTGTATCCTTGTGGGACTAATTGGTGCATTTTGCTTGTCTTAGTGTCTCCAAGTGAAAAGATGTCTCTATTGCCATGTCTGACTTTTCCCCTCTCCTCCTTTTGCAGGAAGGAAGATGTCTCTATGTGATCCTGCTGATGGCCCTGTATTGGTGCACGGAGGCACTGCCCTTGGCCGTGACGGCTCTGCTGCCCATCGTCCTCTTTCCCTTTTTCCCTTCCTGGGGATCCTCCCATCTAACAAAGTTTGCCCACAATATTTTTTAGACACCAATTTCCTCTTCCTCAGTGGTTTAATCATGGCCTCGGCCATTGAGGAGTGGAATTTACACCGCCGGATCGCGCTCCGGGTCCTCATGCTGGTGGGAGTCCAGCCAGCCAGGTGACTATGGGAGCAGAGGGATCTCCATGGGGGATGTGAGCTGCAGGCGCTTGGGAAGTGGCTGTGTTGTGGTGGGCCAAGATGTGAGCGTGTCCCATACCAGGGGGCTGCCCACACCCTATTTTCTCCAGGTTATTGAGTTTACTGAGCTGTTTGCTCAGAGGCCGGTGGAGCACAAGGAGAGTCGTTTGGGTCAGCCCCATATTTGTGCTCTGTCCAGTTACAGGACAGTCACAGAATTCCTTTTTGCTATGAGTTTTGTTATCCCTGCACGCCAGCTTTTCCTATGCCTGTAATACATCAGAGAACTTGCTAAACTGAAGAAATTTAGCTTTTCCTTTTTTCTCTCTTCCAGACTAATTTTAGGGATGATGTTGACAACGTCTTTCCTGTCCATGTGGTTAAGTAATACTGCCTCCACTGCTATGATGCTTCCAATTGCAAATGCAATTTTAAAAAGCCTCTTTGGGGAGAAAGACACATCTAAGGAAATGAACAGGGAAAATGAAGATAACCAAGGTAATTGAGACAGGGTGGTAGTACAAACCCGCTGAGGTCTGCCCTGTACTGTCAAATATTCCCAGTTTTATTGACTTCACTGGCACACGTGCCAGGTTTCTTAGCTGCAGCTTGGTCTCAGTGCCGATCCCATCCTATTACACATTTTATTACTGTGATGGAAGAATATTGGCATAAACCTGCCTTTTATCCTGTCCCTTCCTCATGTCCTGCAGGAGGCAATGCTTATGAGTTGTCTGGAAAAACCAAGAAGTGGTGATGCCCATCCAGCCTGCTCCATAAACCTGCTGCTGGCACAAGTTAAAGCCCAGCTCTGTGGGCACGGTGGTGTTGGGATCTGTAGGGGTGCCTTGCTGTGGGGATAGCCAGAACCAGGGAGGGCTGTAGGTAGTAACACCTGGGCAGATGAGCGTGTTGCTGCAGGGACAGGCAAGGGACTGGCCAGGCAGCAAGAACAGGGCAAGAGCGAGGACAACAGCCCCTCCATGGCAGCGTACAGGGCTACCCTGTGCTCATGGACAGGTGGGTTCTCTTCTCATTTTCCTGTTTGTTCCCCCATGAAACTGGAGCTTGAGCTGGAATGAAAGAGAAGGCTGGCAGGGTACGTACCTATTTATAAAGTGCTTTGTGGTTTCCCAGCTTGATGCTACTGCTTGGTGTTGTTCTTGAGCAAGTCGTGGACAGGCTGGGTCAGGGCTATGCAGGTAGATAAGGTCTTCCTCCAGCCCTTTCTTCACAAATCATGTGGGCTTCTGGCAGAGAGTGATGAGAAACAGCAAAACAGAAAGGACGTCACCAAGTCCCCTTTGCAGCTCTTACTGGTAGTTGGAGCAGTAGTCACACTTCTCTTTCTTGCACTAATTAGTAATTCTTCTGCCCCTGTGATTTAAAAGCAATGGCTTTTTGCTTCTCACAGAGTCATAGGGCAGAAAAATGAGTCCCCAGAAGAAGACTCAGACATGTATTCTCTAATAAAGATATAATTAATCATTCATCATTAATGTCTAGCAATCATGAGATAGTTGCTCTCCAGGTTGCTTTATCACATTTGCTTTATGAATTTTTGACCATTCACATCTATTAAAATCACTTCCACTGACCTTCTTGCTATAATTTCTTATTCTGTAGAAGCATTGTGTTTTGTCAGTCTGCTTTCAGCCTTCTTGACCCCATCCTCTGAAATGATTTGACTGTGTAGTTGCGACTGTAAATACAGTAGAGATTTGGGAACACATAAAATCAAGAACCCCATTGTCCTAGACATTGGCAAGCACAAAATTAACATCCTTGGCTCACAATGCTTGCAGTGGTGAGAGAAGCCAGAAAAGGCAAAGGGAGAGGCATGCAAGTAGAGGAATGAATAAAGTGCTTTGCAAATATCATGTGATGGCGTGATGATGTATTTTTCTTTTGAGGGTAGAGGCTTATGAAAGTAATAAATACAAGAGAAGGAGGAGTCGTCTGTAAAATGCACAACATCAAAATGCAGGTTTTCTTGTAGATTTTATTTGAACTTCAGTGACCCCAGGCAGACTCATCCTTTTCTGTAATCTTTCTGAATGGATGAGAAAAGCTGAGTTCATTAATGGAAGCCCTAAACCTGAAGTCAGTCAAAAGCGATGAATCTGATGTCGCACCCAGGAGCGGAGATGTGAAGGTGAGCTTTCTGCGGGGGGTTCCTGTCTGTCGGGTGTCACCTGCAGTCAGGGCTGGTTGCACATCTCCAACGGGGCTGTTGCAGTTAATTTTTTCACAGACCTGATGCCACCTGACTGAATGTCAGGAACGTGCATTTGAGGAAAAGGTATACTCATTTCATAGTTTACTTCACTTTTATAATCTAGCTGAACTGCAATCTGTGTTCCAAAGGAGGCAGATTTATTGGGGAAGGGGACTGTATGTGGAAGCAAACTTTTGCAATGATGTGTGATAAGGTCAGTTTGCAAATCTGTTTGGATATGCTTTAATAACACTGTAGTAGTGTCCAGGAAGCTAAAAAAAATACCTGAGTAGCTAAAAAAATACTTGGGTGGCTAAAAAAACCCTTAAAAATATATTTAAAAATATGTAGCATGTAAAAGCATTTGATTTTCTGAAGAAATCTCAACAAGTGTATGAAACCAGCTTTGTGAAGGGCTTTACGTACACACACAGTGCCAGAATTAGTGACATCTCTGATCAGTCGGTCATGCTGCTGATGAAGGAACCTCAAGATTGCAATCACTTATGCCCATGCTCAACCATGTGGGCAGTATGTTATAGATACACAAATATTTTGTGCTTGTGTTGTTGATAGCTAAAATTTGGTGTAGTGTTTGGTTCATTTTGGCCCTGTTGACTACTGATGCAAGAATGCAGTTGGCGGCTAGAGTCGCAGCTGGTTCTGGTTGATGAAGCAGGGTTACAAACTGGACACCAACAGGCTGCTTTCAACTTCCAGAATTTTGCTGTTGGAGATGGGTTATAGATTCCCTGTAATTTTGTGTTACATCTCCGGCAGTAAGTGTTGAGAAGCTGGAAACCACTGTACTAGTAAGCTTGGCCATGTCTCCTGCTCTCTGCCCACTAACCCATCATCAGCAATATTTCATTTCTCTAAGCAGCTTCAGTATCTCCAGGTAGAAATAATAAGAAAATATTTCCATCCTGTTTTCAGGCATTGAGAATATCTTTTGCAAATTCAAGATAAATTGCAGTCAGTGCTTGAGGTATTTCATTGGGTCGCAGACCTGGAAATGATGTCTCTAAAAGGGCACGTGGGAAATACACATTTTTGGACATCGCTGCTTGGTTTGGTTGCCTAACCCCAGCCTGTGCGGGCAGGTTATGGCCCCAGCACTGCTGCCTGCACCCCTTGGTGGATGGAAATATTCCTTCTCAAGCCTTTTCAACTCTTTAGAAACAATAAAAATCTCATTAAAGCCAACCTTTTCTAGGACATGCCTTTCTACCTCTAAGGTATACGAGGTATGTGGGTGAAATGGCCACTGAATCCTTCTCATGCTGCTCCCGGAGAGGTGT